AGACTCAGAGACTCTTTACAATGAGAGAGAGGGTAGACTCAAAGACTCTTTACAGTGAGAGGGAGGGTAGACTCAAAGACTCTTTACAGTGAGAGGGAGGGTAGACTCAGAGACTCTTTACAGTGAGAGGGAGGGTAGACTCAAAGACTCTTTACAGTGAGAGGGAGGGTAGACTCAAAGACTCTTTACAGTGAGAGGGAGGGTAGACTCAAAGACTCTTTACAGTGAGAGGGAGGGTAGACTCAAAGACTCTTTACAGTGAGAGGGAGGATAGACTCAGAGACTCTTTACAATGAGAGAGAGGGTAGACTCAAAGACTCTTTACAGTGAGAGGGAGGGTAGACTCAAAGACTCTTTACAGTGAGAGGGAGGGTAGACTCAAAGACTCTTTACAGTGAGAGGGAGGGTAGACTCAAAGACTCTTTACAGAGAGAGGGAGGGTAGACTCAGAGACTCTTTACAGTGAGAGGGAGGGTAGACTCAAAGACTCTTTACAGTGAGAGGGAGGGTAGACTCAGAGACTCTTTACAATGAGAGAGAGGGTAGACTCAAAGACTCTTTACAGTGAGAGGGAGGGTAGACTCAAAGACTCTTTACAGTGAGAGGGAGGGTAGACTCAAAGACTCTTTACAGTGAGAGGGAGGGTAGACTCAAAGACTCTTTACAGAGAGAGGGAGGGTAGACTCAAAGACTCTTTACAGAGAGAGGGAGGGTAGACTCAAAGACTCTTTACAGTGAGAGGGAGGGTAGACTCAAAGACTCTTTACAGTGAGAGGGAGGGTAGACTCAAAGACTCTTTACAGTGAGAGGGAGGGTAGACTCAAAGACTCTTTACAGTGAGAGGGAGGGTAGACTCAAAGACTATTTACAAGTGAGAGGGAGGGTAGACTCAAAGACTCTTTACAATGAGAGGGAGGGTAGACTCAAAGACTCTTTACAGTGAGAGGGAGGGTAGACTCAAAGACTCTTTACAGTGAGAGGGAGGGTAGACTCAGAGACTCTTTACAGTGAGAGGGAGGGTAGACTCAAAGACTCTTTACAGTGAGAGGGAGGGTAGACTCAAAGACTCTTTACAGTGAGAGGGAGGGTAGACTCAGAGACTCTTTACAGTGAGAGGGAGGGTAGACTCAAAGACTCTTTACAGTGAGAGGGAGGGTAGACTCAGAGACTCTTTACAGTTGAGAGGGAGGGTAGACTCAAAGACTCTTTACAGTGAGAGGGAGGGTAGACTCAGAGACTCTTTACAGTGAGAGGAGGGTAGACTCAAAGACTCTTTACAGTGAGAGGGAGGGTATGACTAGAGACTCTTACAGGTGAGAGGGAGGGTAGACTCAGAGACTCTTTACAGTGAGAGGGAGGGTAGACTCAAAAGACTCTTTACAGTGAGAGGGAGGGTAGACTCAAAGACTCTTTACAGTGAGAGGGAGGGTAGACTCAAAGACTCTTTACAGAGAGAGGGAGGGTAGACTCAAAGACTCTTTACAGAGAGAGGAGGAGGGTAGAACTCAAAGACTCTTTACAGTGAGAGAGAGGGTAGACTCAAGACTCTTTACAGTGGAGAGGAGGGGTAGACTCAAAGTACTCTTTACAGTGAGAGGGAGGGTAGACTCAAAGAACTCTTTACAGTGAGAGGGAGGGTAGACTCAAAGACTCTTTACAGTGAGAGGGAGGGTAGACTCAAAGACTCTTTACAATGAGAGGGAGGGTAGACTCAAAGACTCTTTACAGTGAGAGGGAGGGTAGACTCAAAGACTCTTTACAGTGAGAGGGAGGGTAGACTCAAAGACTCTTTACAGAGAGAGGGAGGGTAGACTCAAAGACTCTTTACAGTGAGAGGGAGGGTAGACTCAAAGACTCTTTACAGTGAGAGGGAGGGTAGACTCAAAGACTCTTTACAGGGGTTTAGAGTCCAGGACCATTTGGGGCAGGGGGGAAAGGTCGGAGGCAGGGTGGAGAGTTCAGGGGAGAGATGTCAGAGGGGGAGAGAGGGGAGAGAGTTCAGCATCCTGACCGCCTGGTGGAGGATGCTGTTCCCCAGCTGGACGTCAATATGCTGGTCCTCCTATGGCTGTGGTTCTCCTGTGGTTCTCCTGTGGTTCTCCTGTGGTTCTCCTGTGGCTGTGATTCTCCTGTGATTCTCCTGTGGTTCTCCTGTGGTTCTCCTGTGATTCTCCTGTGGTTCTCCTGTGGCTGAGATTCTCCTGTGATTCTCCTGTGGTTCTCCTGTGATTCTCCTGTGGCTGTGGTTCTCCTCTGGCTGTGGTTCTCCTGTGGTTCTCCTGCGGTTCTCCTGTGGTTCTCCTGTGGCTGTGATTCTCCTGTGATTCTCCTGTGTTTCTCCTGTGATTCTCCTGTGATTCTCCTGTGGTTCTCCTGTGGTTCTCCTGTGGCTGTGGTTCTCCTGTGGCTGTGGTTCTCCTGTGGTTCTCCGGTGGTTCTCCTGTGGTTCACCTCCTGAAAATCTCCACATTTTGACTTTTTTCTGAAAATTGCAACATGTTGAAAAATATCACTCGTCTCCGGCTTCAGTTTCTTTTACAGGATGAGTGGGGGTAACATCATATTATATTACATTTAAGAATTCATGACAAGGAATTAATTGGCAACAACATTTGACTCATGTCTCATATCATGCTATTGTTATTAGGCATATATTATGGATCTCAGATATATAAAAATACACAAAAAACAGTGTTTTGCTCAAAATACCAAACAGATCATCCATTTTAGAAATCCCTCATATCGCTGTTCCAGCTGTTAGAGAAACACTGATTCTGGGTCAGTTAAGTTTGGCGGAGGCAGAGCTAATGCCTGATCAGAACTCTCCCAGCAGAAACTCAGCTAAATGCTGCCGTGACTAAACTCCATATCATGTTCCAAACCACATGAAGGATTCTCTCTGAAACAGTATGGAGCTCAAACTCTTTCTCTCTCTCAGGTTTACCACAAGGTGACTTCCTTTTGATTTCCTGCTTCTTCACACATGCTCTCTCCAGTACAGGTTAGCTCTGAGTGTTAGCATGCTAATGTAAACACAGACCATATTACTTCCAGAACACGTCTCATTGTTTCTGACAGCAACGTTTCTGATTGGCCCGTGGGTGTAAAGCCTCCTGACACACCGGGGACACATGGTGATGTAGAAAAGACATCACTTTGTGAGTCTCCTGACACACCGGGGACACACCGGAGACACACCGGGGACACATGGTGATGTAGAGAAGACATCAGAGAGAGACTTTTGCATAAAAGGAGAGCTTTGAAACACAAATATATATTTGTTAGAAACATCTCCCTGGTCCCCGGCTTGAGCTTCAATCTCAGGATCCATGTATTTATGATCCTCTCAAGAATGGAAGTAGTCAAAACTAAAAAAGAGAATTAGTTGGTATTTGTTCTCCAAGTTCTGACTTTCCCTCCAAAATGATGTGATAGGAGCCCAGAGCCTTTAGGGATCCAAAGCACAACATATCAGGATAGATGCCAATTTAGTGAAACTTGAGAGGTTTAGCAGAGGCAGGTCCAGGCGGACTCACCTTTGGGCCATCAGTGCCCTTTGACCTTTCTCAGGAACCACACTGCTTTTGATCATTCACCCAGACCTCTATACCTCTCCCCATTCATCAAAAAAACATGCACAGTTTGACTCCAACTGGAGCAGATTTATTTCAAACATTAAACACAATATACAAGAAATCCACTTTACACTGTAAAGAAAATCTGTAATCCAGGCAGTAAATTGCTGGATTACCCAGTAGTGTATTAATTTGTAATACAGTGTGATACTGTACATTATGCTGCATTGTGGGAATATTATCCTTAGGCGGGAAATGTATACAGCACTTAAAACATTATACTGTAATATTACAGATAGTGCTGTAATGTTACAGTGTCATTTTGTTGTTACTGTACAATATATCAGGAGCAAGAGGAGAGAACCGCTGTGACCTTTAACGGATTATTTAGATTTATAAATGTTATTATTGCCGTTTTTTTTCCCCTAACAGTTCGTATTTTATTTTGAGATTGAGTTGCAGTATTATATATATAACAGCTTCAACAGTCAGCGGACCAAATGGAGAGAGATTCAGAACGTCCTCTCCCAAATCCAGGAGGAATCCTCCAGCCAAGATCTCTCTGCTCGTCATGATGAACATCTCAAGGACAAAGAAGAGGCTCTTTTGGCTGAAGTGGAGTTATACATTAGGATCTTGTGCAATGAACATGTAATCATTTATGCCATTCAAATATTACATTGTATTGTGCATTCATTTGAACATATTATTGTGTGTGTGTGTGTGTGTGTGTGTGTGTGTGTGTAGGACTGCAACCAAGGATGCCATTGAGGCTCAACTGCCCCTACCAGGCCACCAAGGCTCATCATGTTAGGGAAGGATTTGGTTTGACACTTTACTTTTGACATGTAAAGCTGACATGTATTTTAATTCCACATGTTGTGTATGTGTGCTTCATACATGTGTGTGTGCTTCATACATGTGTGTGTGCTTCATACATGTATGTGTGCTTCATACATGTATGTGTGCTTCATACATGTGTGTGTGCTTCATACATGTGTGTGTGCTTCATACATGTATGATCTCTATAGTATTTCATTTCAGTTTTGAAGTAGAAAACATTTTCAATGATACGCTGCCTTTTCCATTTTGTCCCCTTCTCTTGCAGGGGACGCTTTCACTTTCACACAATTACAGTGTACTTTGTGATCTGATGTTGTGACCTCACTACTTGGTCTGTTGTATTTATATCTGTTATAAACTGTTGTATTTATATCTGTTATGAACTGTTGTATTTATATCTGTTATATTTATATCAGTCATGAACTGTTATATTTTACCATGTTTTTCATATTGAACTTAATAATGAAATGAATAAACACATGTTATTTAAAGTGTATCCCAGGTGTTGATGGTTTCAGGAACAGGAGCACCGTTTGCAAATGAGACGAGGATCTCAAATTGAAAAAGAGAAAACTGCAGTAATAAACTGTTTTATTGCAAACACTACTGTACAATTATACTGTATACAGAACAGTGTATTGCTATTTCACAATACCAGTATAATATTGTTTCTGAGATTACAGCAACATACACAATGACAGTATCAAAATACAGAACTGATTTTGCTAAAACACAAGATCTCTACTGTAAAGTAAAAACACAGTAACTTTGCTGCCAGTCATTTACACTGTGATACTTTAGAGGTAGGTGAAAACAACACGCTGGCAGAACATCCTGAATGTGAGGGTTTAGTCGTTCAGAACATCCTGAATGTGAGGGTTTAGTCGTGCAGAACATCCTGAATGTGAGGGTTTAGTCGTGCAGAACATCCTGAATGTGAGGGTTTAGTCGTACAGAACATCCTGAATGTGAGGGTTTAGTCGTGCAGAGCATCCTGAATGTGAGGGTTTAGTCGTGCAGAACATCCTGAATGTGAGGGTTTAGTCGTACAGAACATCCTGAATGTGAGGGTTTAGTCGTGCAGAACATCCTGAATGTGAGGGTTTAGTCGTTCAGAACATCCTGAATGTGAGGTTTAGTCGTGCAGAACATCCTGAATGTGAGGGTTTAGTCGTACAGAACATCCTGAATGTGAGGGTTTAGTCGTACAGAACATCCTGAATGTGAGGGTTTAGTCGTTCAGAACATCCTGAATGTGAGGGTTTAGTCGTGCAGAACATCCTGAATGTGAGGGTTTAGGTGCCACTCCTTGAAGCAGTTCTTGTTGGCAGTGAGGCACAGAGGGACCTGGCACTTGCTGCAGTAGACCGGGGTCTCCACCCTCTTGGAGCCAGCATCTCTGCACCTCCTGCAGTACCTCCTGGACTGGGGGCCATCTTCCCCATAAAACATGGGCATGCATTTGAGGGATGGGGGGGGATGGTTGGGGGGATGGTTGGGGGGACGGGGCTGCAGAGCCTTCAGCAAACTCCAACATCTCTGCCGCCAGCTGCTCCCTGAAGGACTTGCGTGTGAGGGTCTTGGTCCTGGCCGAGTCACTGCTCCTCTTGAACAGCTCCTCGTGGAGCAGGAAACTGTTCACCACGGAAATGTCCAGAAAATGGTAAAAAAAAGTCTTGTACCATTTCTCGGTTTTGTGGCGAGCGCTGCAGTTCACGTCGGACACGTCCTCGCCGCCCGTGCTCTGCTCGTAGTCCACCACAGCGTCAGGAACGGGAACAGTCTTGATCTGCCACACGCCGGCCCGTTTGACTTTCCTCCTGAGGGTCTGTCCGCTGAAGGCCTCGTGCACGGTGGAGCACATGCACACTTCCCAGCTGTCCATCCAATTGACGAACAGGAGCTCTCCTCTCCTTATCCACCGCAGATCTCCCCTCTCAGCCTCTTTGGGAAGTTCATTCAACTCCGTCTGTGGGAAACCGATTATATTTTTTCTAATGATCCCACAACAGCCAATGTTCTTCGTGGACAAATGCTCAAAGAGGGCAGGGCTGGTGTGATGCTTGTCCACAAAGAGTGTGTAGCCCGCACCGAGCAGAGGGAGGGGCATGAGGTCCATCACGGAGGAGTAGCCGAGTCCACGGCCTGTGGTGGACTCGCTCTCCCCCGTGCACACAGAGAAGCTCCAGGTGTATGTCGTGGAGGAGTCCTCCAGCACGAGCAGTTTGTACCCCCAATTTATGGGCTGGTCCCTCAGATGCGGCTCCGGGGCCTTGTAGGCCACCATCCTCTCATCTATTGCAATCTTCTGAGAGGGCTGGAAGTGTGCTTTACAGGCAGCTATGATGTCCGTGTAAAGGGGCTTGATCTTAAAGAGCCTGTCGTACTCGGCCGTGTTCATCTTGCGCTCGTTCTCCTCGTCTTCTTCAGGGTCGCTCATGTGCAGCGACCACAGGATGGCTTCAAAGCGTGTCCGGGACATGCTCTCAGGTGGGACTGGGAAGTCGTACGGCCCTTTCTTCCTCCAGTAGTCCAATACGTGGGGAAGGCGCACGAGGCCGGAGACAATGGTAAGGGCCAGGAAGATATAGAACTCCCTCACAGTCAGCTCTTCCCAAGCGGACTTCTTTCCAGCCCGTGACCTCTTCAGGGCGTTTGCATTGGTGTTGTCCACGAGCCTCTGGACCACGGAGGGGCTGAAGAACAGTCTGAAGAGGGAGAGGGGAGACCACGCTGCGCTGGGGTCTAACGCTGGGCCGGGGACCCTGGCTGGCATGAAGCTCCGAGGCTCTGGTGCTCTGTCCTTCTCCTCTCTGCTGCGCCACCTGAGGGCTGGAGACCCACCTCGGGGAGACCTGCGGACATGCTTCATGGGGTTTGATGAGGCTTTTCCTTTTCCTTTGGACTGCGTGTCAGATCCAAATGAGGAAGATGATGGCTGAGTCTCGTACTCTTCATCACTGTGAAAACAAATTAAACACGAAAAATAAGCCCACTTCTAAAATGAATTCACTCAACAGAAGCCCAACAACTTATTTCCATACCAAGCTTGAAATAGAGCCTTCTCCTATTTCATGTTATTATAATAATGTCCTAGCTGCTACATTGTGCTGCCTTGTGGTAAAAGGGTCAATTAGCTCAAAGCTAAAATCCGGCTAATTTACATTTGAAAGCATTATTTTATTAAAAATATTCATTAATGTGCACTGTCCCGGTTCAAATAAACGACCTAAAGTGGACCGTTCATGCTATATTTGAATAATATATTGTAGGGCCATACCTATAGAAAACATGTCTGTGAAGTTTGTTTTTCAAAATACATTTTAGCCATGCCTCATTTCGCTCTATTTTAGCCCTGTTTTTGCAAGGGCTGATTCTGTGAGAAGTCTTCTTTGCTGCTTTTGTGGCTACAGCGCCACCTACAGGCCTGGCATATGTACTACAGCGTCTCCAGCGCTTTGGAACGGCAATGGCCGTGGCTGTCTCCTCCTGATTGGTGGAGTTGGCCCAATAGCCGTAGCGCACCGTCCTGACGTCAGGACAGTGTTCAAATCTGGATCAGTTTTTATCAGATCCGTTGCAGCCCCCTTTTTTAGAGATTTGGGTATGGAGGAAAATAGAGAGGGTTGTGTTTTCTGACACTTGGTGAGTTCCCTGGAACACCGGGGACACATATTCATGTAGAAAAGACGTACACAAGTGCATTTTGCATGATAGGTCCCCTTTAACTTACGAGGCAATAAACCTCTGAGCGGCCCAGCCCTTCGTATATCTGTCTGCATGTGGCCCTGAGTGAAAACAGTTGGGACCCCCCCTGTCTTACATCAGATCAATAAGTAATGGACCAAAGAGAAGACGTACCTTTCCGATGGTGGAACATCATGATGTGAGTGCCGGCTGTGCGGGCGTCTCTCCGGCTGCAGGAGGTCCTCGTCGTTCGACTCGCTATCTTCTTCAGCCATCTCCTCAGGGCTCTGCTTCCCGTCTGCCATCTTTGCAATGTGCTTATTTGGCAAAAGAGAAAATAACAATTCTTAAATGCAAAGAAAGGTTTTATCATCAGATGCTCAGCAGCTACAGGCTAGAAATGGCAGTGAAAAGTTGAGTCTCTCGTCCAATCACAACATGGAAACATTACAATCATTATTACTTCATTTCATTTTTATTTGTCCCGCTCATGGTACGCATAACCAAATGTACAATAATTGCCAACAAAACATGTATAGACACACCATTGAGCGAAAAGGAGAAGAACATCTTATATGACCTGCCCCTTTCTAAATAAATAAATAAATACAAATAGATGGTCTGCCCTTCATAATTAAAAAAATGTTCACAGCCACACATAACAGTACACTCTGATCTGAGTCCTACTGGAGAAGAAGGTGGAAAGCGGCGCCTAATAATAATGAGACCTGCAAATAACGAAAATACACATACAATTCTTTAGATCCTTTTGTTGAGAATTCCACAATTGTACACCAACCACCGAAATACACATTTGCTTAAGAGTAGTCCTTGCATAAGGATGCTTAACATGTAATGTCCTTCTGTGGTCTTCCTTGTCTGATCCAAAAACAAACTGTTGTAAATATCCTGGTAACATTCTGCTTGTTGCCCTGAGCATTACTGATACTGTCTGCAGCTCAGCTATCTCTTTGAGTTTCAAGAGTCCTGACTTAAAACACAGTCTGTTGGTAAATCATCTCCTGAACTAAATAGATTGGTGTCGTCTGCAAACAACACAAATTGCAATAATGTTGACGTTTCACATGTCATTGATGTACACAATAAAAAGTGTAGGCCCTAAACCCGAGCCCTGCGGGACGCCACATTCTGTGTTCATACACTACGATGTACTTCCAGCTAATTCTACATATTGTTGTCTGTTATCTAAATAACTTTTAACCAATCTAGAACTACTCCTCTCACACCGTATCTATGTCATTTAGAAATTAATAGGTAATGGTCTGTAGTTAGTAAAGTGTGAAAGCAAGGACACTGGTCTGTAGTTAGTAAAGTGCGAAAGCAAGGACACTGGTCTGTAGTTAGTAAAGTGTGAAAGCTAGGACACTGGTCTGTAGTTAGTAAAGTGTGAAAGCAAGGACACTGGTCTGTAGTTAGTAAAGTGTGAAAGCTAGGACACTGGTCTGTAGTTAGTAAAGTGTGAAAGCAAGGACACTGGTCTGTAGTTAGTAAAGTGTGAAAGCAAGGACACTGGTCTGTAGCTAGTAAAGTGTGAAAGCAAGGACACTGGTCTGTAGCTAGTAAAGTGTGAAAGCAAGGACACTGGTCTGTAGCTAGTAAAGTGTGAAAGCAAGGACACTGGTTTGTAGTTTCACTATAGTCATGTCGATCCCATCTATCAGTCGAAGTCTTATTTTTGCATTTGTCTTCAATGGATCTAATTTCAAATTTCGTTTATCTCTCCCAGAAACTTTACTTCCCCCAATTCCGCCAGCCTCTTTTTGCCCATCGTGTTGTTTAGGAATAGTCTTTGCTAGATTAGGTCCGACATTTACAAAAGCGTTAAATTCATGTACCACTTCATGTTTTTTACAACCTTATTTTTCTTATTATTATTATCAGCAGTCGTAAAATAAGTATCAGCTCCTTGTATTGTGTCTCGAGTGGATTGGATCATATCTACGGTATGTTATCTTCTCGTTGGTAATCATTTCATATCAAATATCTCTATATATTTATACTAGAGATAATATCAAATGTTTTCGGCTAAACAAAGAGATTCAATAGTAAAAGGTAACCCTGTTGGCCAGGTTGTTATTAACCCGCGACCCTCACACACAGCCTGTGAGCCCCCGACCCTCACACACAGCCTGTGAGCCCCCGACCCTCACACACAGCCTGTGAGCCCCCCCCCCCCGGAGGAGCAGACGCGACATCTTGCAAGAAACTGTGTCTCAGGGCTTCTTAACATTTAACAACCTATTAATGCTTCTTACCCACTGAACCGGAAGAAACTCCGCGAACAGACGATACCACGTTTAGCTAAACCAAACACGTAACACCAAGCCTCTGAAACACTTAGCGAAACATGCTAAGTTAACACATAACTCACAACAAAGTCATCCTATCTGCACAAAACACATCTCACATGAAGCTTCCACAGATTCCATATCAGTCTCATCTCGACCAGAACTCACTGAACTAGCAGCCAGGAAAGAGCAAGGAAACAACTTCACTTCACGCAGCCATGATGATAATGAAGTCTTACCTCTGGGTTTCTGATCCAAAGTTGTGTTCAAGAGCATAAACTCTGCTGAGGGTTAGTCCGATGTCTCTGCGTCACTTTCAAATCATTACTGAGGATCCTTCATTACTTGTGTTGGTTATAAACGTAGCGTCTCGTTTTAACTGGTGATGTTTACATGGATTTAGGAACTCCCCCTCGACTCTATTGGCTCTAACGGTTTCAAATCGACCAATGGGCTCCAGAGGGAGGGCCCTGCAGGTCTGCCTGGCAGCTGAGCAGCATTACGCTGTGTGGTCTAAAGTGGTCTATAGGTCAGGGAGAACATCTCCAACAGGTCTAAAGTGGTCTATAGGTCAGGGAGAACATCTCCAACAGGTCTAAAGTGGTCTATAGGTCAGGGAGAACATCTCCAACAGGTCTAAAGTGGTCTATAGGTCAGGGAGAACATCTCCAAAAGGTCTAAAGTGGTCTATAGGCAGGGGTGCACATAACTTTTTTAGTGAGTTACTCAGATGAGTACCAAGAGACAGCGTTTGGTACTCACCCCACACGAAGCGTGGTCCTCCTCAGTGTCTCCTTCACTGTCCTCAATTTACACTTCTTGCATGCTAGATGATGAAGATGATGAAGATGCACCTCCCTGTCTCTTTTTAAGCCTCCGATTTGCTTTCTCCAAAACTTGTTGCCAAAACTGTGAAGTCCTTGCATTTCCTGAGGCCAAGTTGAAGGATCAAATACTAAGAAATGATCACATGACTTGAAGTCATATCTGATTTCAAATGTGGGAAGTAACAAAGCACACTTATTTACTCAAGTACAATTTTGAGATACTTGTAGTTGACTTGAGTATTTCTATTTTATGCTACTTTGTACTTCTACTTTTCCTCCACTACATGTATTTAATACCTTTAGTTACTTTACAGATGTGGATGAATGATGTGAAATATAACCAAGTGTTAAATCAGACTTTAGTTCCACCTGGAGTAAATCCACAAGCTACCCTGCAGTATACAAAGTCATTCAAACTAGCTGCACCTTTACCAGCTTTGAGAACACTTTCATGATCAATCATTATAAAACATATCATATATATTATTCTGAAATGGACCAATCTGCACAATGACTACTTTTACTGTCGCTACTTTCACTATATTTTGATAATACTTTTCTAATTTTACTTGAGTAACATTTTGAATGCAGGACTTTTACTGTAACAGAGTATTCCTACACAAGATCTGAGTACTTCTTCCACCTCTGTCTGATTTCAAACTCTTCCATAACACCCTGAGTAAGTTTGCAGCTGTGTGTTTCACTCCACTTTGGTGTAAATAAAACTGCAGCAGCTTGACCACAGAGCGTGAACGTTGTGATCAGATGATTTTGCGCAGTTCTCCAGTGTGTGCGCGGGGCACAGAATGTGCACAGGGGAGTCTCCCACCGCAGCCAGTTGGCGGACTTTTGGCACAATTCTGTTGTTTATACCGACGTTAACAGCAGCTCCGTCTGTGCACACGGCGACCAACTCTGTCGTCCAGTGATCTAAGCCTCTGCCTCCTGGAAAGCTTCACAGGTCCGTCGGTTATGTCCTGCGCGGCTCACCCAGCTCCAGTTCAATCAGTCATAGAAAGATTTTTTGCAGGGAGCGAAACGGCAACGTAGCTGCTTAATGTCTTTGGGTTTTTTGACATGCCTAGTAGTTTACTCCATTGAGTGTTGACAAGAAACACGTGTAGACGAAATATTTGTTTTGTTTTGATGTTTTGAGGTACGCAAAGGCGCGTAGTGACACAAGTGACGTTACGCAATTCAGATTTGTGCCGCGCATGCGTACCTGCGTACCAGTTATGTGCACCCCTGTCTATAGGTCAGGGAGAACATCTCCAACAGGTCTAAAGTGGTCTATAGGTCAGGGAGAACATCTCCAACAGGTCTAAAGTGGTCTATAGGTCAGGGAGAACATCTCCAACAGGTCTAAAGTGGTCTATAGGTCAGGGAGAACATCTCCAACAGGTCTAAAGTGGTCTATAGGTCAGGGAGAACATCTCCAAAAGGTCTAAAGCAGTTGTATTTGGGTGTAATGAATACCTTTAGTGATATTTCAATGAAATACAATGAGTTTTACAGTGTGGTTCCTGAGAAAGGTCAAAGGGCACTGATGGCCCTGATGTACCCAAAGGTGAGTCCGCCTGGACCTGCTTCTGCTAAACCTCTCTAAAGAATGTCAAGTTTCACTAATGGCGCATTTCCACTACACGGCCTCGCTCGGCCTCGCTCGGTATGGCTAGGCCTCGTTAGGCCTGGCTCACTTTATGGCGCATTTCCATTACAGTTTAGGAACTGGGGTAGTAACTATAGTAACGCAGTGGAGGCGGAGCCGTGACGTCATCTTCAGAGAACCCCAGAAAAACAACACAGCCGTTAGCTGTTAGCACTCAGAGCTCACAGCTCCTCATATATGTTCAGAAACTCGACAAAAGTTAAACAAGTACAAACCACAGACTGCCTGTGTCATGGAGAATACAGTCGCTGCTTTATTTATGTCTGTATAGGCCGTTGTTGTGAGTGTGGACGGTCGGAGCATATACTGCGTTAGCTTAGCCAATCTCCATTCAGAAAACACGCATTTTAAAAGGTGTTTCTCCTGCCGTCTGTCTGCAGACTTGACAAAGCATTAATTCATGGTTTTTACTAACCGGTATCAGTATGTTGTTACTTCATCATTTAGAAACGTGTATTAAAATTAAATCACGGTCAAATATGTCCATCTTGTTGTAGTTGTAGCCCCCTTGCCAGCGATGCTCTCTCTAGTTTAGCATACTCAGCCCGACTCAGCCTCGTTGTCTCTGGCCCTAGACCCGCGATTTTATGAGGCCAGAAAAACTGTGAATTAGGACCCGCCGGCCGGTACTAGGCCAAGTGGAAACGTAACCAAAGACGGGCCGCTGACGTCACAGCCCTCTTAAACCGTGCTGCGCGCTGTAGTGGAAACGCGCCATTAGTGAGCATCTATCCTGACACAGGGTACTTGTGATATATTGTGGTTTGGATCCCTAAAGGTCCTTTGTTCTGAGCCTGTTTTCCAGCCTGAGACCCTAAACACAGGCTGAACAGGATATACATATAATGTCTTTGATCATTCACTATCACTAAGTTCTCAATGTGTTAAGATGTTAAAGTAAGACCAGCACTGAATAAAGGAATACATGATCTCTGACAGCACTATGTGAAATGATATCTGTATCTTATCAGTTGATTAGTTACACACATCTAACTCTTCTCTGGCTCTGCAGAAACAGTTCTCTCTGAGATGTGTTGGGACACTTGGATTAACCCTGTTAGCATGCTAATTAGCCTGTTAGCATTAGCCAGGCAGCATTGTGTGACTTCTTGTTGAACTGGTTTACTGCATGTGTGGGTGGAGGTCTTCCTTTAGTATGATAACAGGCTGAGCCAGGTAGCATTGTGTGGCTCAAGTGTGCGATGTGAATAGGGTTCAGATGCTCCAGGATGCTCACCTGGGGGGGGGTGCATCCCTTTAGTATGATAATAGCCAGACACAATGAACACTTCTTCCCCCTCCCTATCTATTCAGGTAATCTATTACAATATCCAACCCAGTCTCACAGCATGTCGTGTTATAGTCACGACATGTAATCTATTGATTCGTGTCACGATTTCCCCTTTTTTTCGTGTCACACAGAACGATTTTAAAAGCAATGCAACACGTCTCTTTGTCCGTTCGGGTCTTGGAAGACCAGAAGCTGTGGGGTTCATAAAAACATGTTCTTACTCAATATCAAGCCACGATTATTGTTTTTATTTTAAAGCGTATAATGTCGGACTTTCTTTGTCGTCAGTGAGGAAAAGAAATGTCTCAGAGCCTCAGGATACTGACATCTGTATTTTATAAATCTTTTTTTCCTTCTAATTTGTTATTCTTTTCTAAATAACACACTGTTATTTACTCAACAACAACACACTGTTATTTACTCAACAATAACACACTGTTATTTACTCAACAACAACACACTGTTATTTACTCAACAATAACACACTGTTATTTACTCAACAATAACACACTGTTATTTACTCAACAATAACACACTGTTATTTACTCAACAATAACACACTGTTATTTACTCAACAACAACACACTGTTATTTACTCAACAACAACACACTGTTATTTACTCAACAACAACACACTGTTATTTACTCAACAACAACACACTGTTATTTACTCAACAACAACACACTGTTATTTACTCAACAACAACACACAATTATCCTTGCTTTTATTTATTTGTTTGATTCCATAATCTCGGGCTCTTCTTGGCTTTCGAGCAATTTAAATTTTATATAGATTTCTATGTTGCATCGTTTATTTGAAGGCACATGCAGCGGTGCCCCTAACCCTAACCCTAACCCTAACCCTTTCAATTGAAGTAAAACCTGCACCAAAGAAAGAAATTAGTATTCAAGCAAGAGCGATAAAAGCAAGAAAATCACTTAAAGGGGACCTATCATGCAAAATGCACTTGTGTACCGTCTTTTCTACATGAATATGTGTCCCCGGTGTTCCAGGGAACTCACCAAGTGTCAAAAAAACACAACCCTCTCTATTTTCCCTCCATACCCAAATCTCTAAAAAAGGGGCTGCAACGGATCTGATAAAAACTGATCCAGATTTGAACACTGTCCTGACGTCAGGACGGTGGCGCTACGGCTATTGGGCCAACTCCACCAATCAGGAGGAGACAGCCACGGCCATTGCCGTTCGAAAGCGCTGGAGACGCTGTAGTACATATGCCAGGCCAGTAGGTGGTGCTGTTCTCACAGAATCAGCCCAGAGCTATAAAATGTCAAATTGAGCAAAATGAGGCATGGCTAAAATGCATGATCTGTTTGGTATTTTGAAAAAAAAAAAGTATAAATATGCCTTATATAGGTATGGTCCTACACTATATTATTATAATATAGCATGATAGGTCCACTTTAATGTGTTGTGTCATCACAGAGGATGGTCTGAAGACTGTCTTTTACAGTAACATGTTGTGAAACCCTGGTAATCATTTCTCCTGTACATTCACAGTAATGAACTGCCTGCATTGATTTCACTGTGAAATTCAGAATGACA